AATGCCGATCCAGGTAAGCAGATTATAGACACACACAATACCACCTTCTGTTCGTCTTCCAGGAACAATCCGGTCCTCTGGAGCATCCAGGAAACACACACAAAACAAAACCTCGTCCACGGCCAAAAAATTCCTAACTCAGCCCAGCACCTGCTCCTCTTTCTCTCTCTCTCTCTCTCCTTTTCTTTCCTCTCAACAATAAAAGTCATAATTCATGCTCTCTGTTGATCAAACCGAGACGCTGTTACTTTTACTTACATCATTTGAAAATCACAAAGTTCCAGCTGTAATCAGGCGCTTGTACGGAAGCCTGTTGAGCAGGACCATCAGCAGCCGTGACGTTACAGCGGCTTTCATCATCCCGGCAGACTTTTATATTCAGGGAAATTGGGGGAGCAGAAGCAGCAGAACTCCTGCCATGGGAATTACAGGTGTGACTGTGCCACTGCGTCTTTTATTGCGATGAGAAATAAACGCATTCTTTGAGAAGAATGTGCTTGAGACAGATGAACTAAAGAGGTAGCAGAGTAAAGGAAAAACGTTCATGCGCTTAGCATTTAATAGGGGATGATGGGATGGGATTCCACCATCAAAAGTGTCCTCCTACATAAAGAGCCAAAATAAAAATCAAGACTAAAGCACTTCTCGCCAACATGGTGTCAAAAACACCTTCTGTCAGAAGCTAGCAGGGTGTTTGACAGGGAAATGAGGGTTTGGATTACACAAGTGCTTTAGATGCCACACTGAAATATGTGAATTACTGCACTAAACAAAGGACGAGAGAGAAGCCAACTTCAAATCCTCCTGGGAACTTCTTAACAGCTCCGAAATGAGAAGTACATGACACTTCAGTTTTTCAGATCACAATCATTTCAGATATCCTCTTTTCACATTTTTGAATCTCTCCATCTAGCCATTCTATCATTAGGATCTATCCATTAGTCATCTAGCTATATTTTCATCCATCTATATATCAATTTATCATCCATCCCTCATCCAACTATAATATATAGTTCACATCCATCTTTCTATCTATGTAACATTTATCAACATCAATCTTTCTATTCATCCCCCAATCCCTTCATCCTCCTATTCATTCATTAGTTATCCATCCATCCATCCGTTATCCATCACCATCTAATTATTATATTTCCCATCTATCCATCCATCCTCTTAACTATCTCTAATTTCATCCATATACCCATCCCTCCATTCTCCTATGTATTTATTATTCTGTCTGTCTGTCTGTCTGTCTGTCTGTCTGTCTGTCTGTCTATCTATCTATCTATCTATCTATCTATCACCATCTAATTATTATATTTTACATATATCATCCATCCTCATAATTATTTATAATTTTATCCATTTACCCATCCCTCTATCCTCCTATGTCAGGGGTGGCCAACCCTGTTCCTGGAGAGCCACCTTCCTGCAGATTTCAGTTGCAACTCATATCAAACACACCTGAACCAATTAATTAGGACCTAAACACCACTTGGTAATTACAGGCAGGTGTGTTTGATATGGGTTGCAACTGAAGTCTGCAGGGAGGTGGCTCTCCAGGAACAGGGTTGGCCACCTCTGTCCTATGTATTCATTGGTCATCCATCCATCCATCCATCCACCCGTCTGTCTGTCTATCATCCATCACCATCTAATTATTATATTTCCCATCCATCCATCCATCCTCTTAACTATCTATAATTTCATCCATTTACCCATTCCTCCATCCTCCTATGTATTCATTGGGCATCCATTCATCAATCGATCGATCTATCCATCTATAAGTAATTCATTTATATTTTTTTCCACTTATTTCAATTTATCTTCCATCCATCTTCTAATTATGATTTCACATCTATCCATGCATCCATTCTTTCATCCTCTTATCTATCGATTAGTCATCTAATTATACTTTCATCCATTTACAGTATGTTAATTTATCATCCATCCAACCAATTTGATTATATTTCACATCCATTAATCCATCAGATATCAACCGTAGCACAGGAATCGATCTTAGCTGTAACACCAATCTGTCAATCCACAAATCCATCCACCCATCCTTTCATCTTATCTATCCATTAGTCCTCTAACTTTCATCCACTTATAGTATGATATCAACTAATCCATCCACCAACCAGTTTGATTCCATCTAGCTATATATCAATTTATAATACATCTACAAATTATATAACACATCCATCCTTCGTGCTTCATCCATCGCCTTATTAATGTGTTAGTCATCCAACTATATTTTCATCCATTTAAAGTATAATATCAATTTATCATCCATCCACCAACTAATTTTATTCAATTTATCCATCTAAATGTATTATCCATTCATCATCTAATTATTATATTTCACATCTAGCCATCCATCCATCCATCATGCTTCATCTTATTTATCGGTCATCTCAAGTCATCTATCTATACTTCCATCAATGTAAACATCAATTCATCCACCTATCAACCAATTTTTACACATCCATCACATCTATTTTTCAATCTATGTAACAGCCAATCTTTCAATCCACTCATACATCCACCCATTCCTTCATCCTCCTATTTATCCATTAGTCATCTATCCATCTATACATTCATCCATTTATTTATTCATCCATCTACAAAACCTTAACATTTTCTAAATGTTCAGGTGTCTACATCATATCATCTTCTAACTAAACGTTACAGCAGTGGACCTGAAAGAGCAGTGAAAGGACCCTAATGCCAACTAAAGCACCTCCTGTCGCCAAACTGAAAATGCTATGTGTAATAAATTTACTTTTAATGATTTAACAGTGTCTTACAGGTGGTTTGTCAAACCCACTTACCTATGTAGTGCACACTCTGAATTGTACAATGTTTCCCAAGATGTACAGGGTGTTTAGGAAGGTGTCTGGTGCATATGGAGAGTAAAAGATTGTCAACTACAGGAGGTTTGTCAAGCCCACTCACACATGTGGAGCATTGTACAATATTTCCCAAGACGTATGGGGTGCTTAAGGTGTCTTATACGGAGAAAAAGAGAGTATGTGAACTACAAGTGGTGTGTCAAGCCCTCTCACCTGCATGAAGCACACTGAAATTGCAGAATGTTTGATGTGGAGTGGAGTGTGTGAAAAGCGAGTGTGTCCTACAGGTGGTTTGAGGCACCACTGAAAACAGGGATGAACTATTAATCGCATTTCAATATATCTTAAAGTTTCAAGTCTCATAATTACTGACAAAAGTAGCGGAAAGAATTTGACTACTTTTTAAAACTAAAAGCCTTCGTTTTTTTAATGAAAAACACAACTACCCAACTAAAACCTTTATTGTTTCACAATGTGAATAATATATACAATTTTAAAAATAACATGCTATAAACGCTGGTTAGTATGACTGCATGTTATTGCAAACACAGTGTGTGTTCTGGCAGAGCGAGGGCTGTATGGCCGTTGGGTATTCACTGTAACGGCACACAAACGGCTCACAAAAGCAACCAGCAGAGCCCTGATGAAAATCACACCATTACATCTGTAATTAACAGCATGAAATCCTGCCATGAAACCCCTTCAATGTCTGAATAACATCCCTGATCCATGCGCCCACAGGAGAGCCAATGCACGCTCCCACAATGCACTGGGGCAGCCGGACTGATGGAGCTTTGGAGCTCAATTTCCAACACAATCATCCTCATTTCAGCCTGAAAATGCCAGAGAGATTCTGCTGCAGTCTCTTTAGTGAAAGGAGAGAGAGAGTAAGAGTGAGAGAGAGGGAAAGAGGGGGAGAAAAGAATGGAGGCGGACAAAGAGCGTCTTTTAACAGCAGTTTAACAGTCACCTGGAGGGCATGAAGGACACGAGAGAGAAAGAAGACTGTGTGTGAAAGAATGTGTGTGAGGGATATGCACTCTGCAATCGAAAAATCACACATTTACAGGCTGTTTTATACATATTTACTCTCTCTTTATCCATCTCTTTTTGACACTCCATCTCTGAAACATTCTGTACTGTACAGGTTTCTCTTCTCAATTCCATACAAATGACTGGATTACGTTTTAGCCAAGCTTTCTTGCAACGACACAAGGTGAAGTGCCCTGTCAAAGCATATACAGGGATACAAAGATGATAACTCAAGTAGTAGTAACAAAAGACATCATGCAAGTGTTATTTAAGTGTGCAAGTGGGTTTTCCCCCCTTATTGACTCAACCTTCTTCCAGGCAGGCATCTACACGACGAGTGAAGGTGAAGGTTTATTTTCATCTGCTTAGTAACACAATGATAAATCTACAAAGAAAGTTCATTAGATAAAACCCCAGAACTTGCACTGGCCTTTAGGACTTTAAGATTTATTTTGCTGAATAAATAATTTAAACCTTAAATAAATTTAACATATGTTTTATTACAAAAAGTGATTTTCTTTATGAAATAAATGTATCATTCAAATTAATTTTTAATTAAACGGTTAGGTTTAAATGCAGTCTAAACTCTTAACAAGTATTGGAAGTAACGCAAGCTACCTTATAAGATTACTTTTCAAGAGTTCACACTTAGCTGATGATTGATAATAAAGCTTGTTTGGCATGCTGTCCTGGGAGAACCCTGAGCTTATGAGATCCTCGAGCCATATGAGATAAATGACGTCAGTACGTAATAACCGGTGATTTATTAATGAACTGATACCGAATTGCGCACGTCTGCATCGCTCTGCTCCGAAGAAACAATTCATTTTGACACCCCTATGCAAAAGTAACAACACGTTTCTTACGATAAAAAGTAACCAACTAACACATCTACTTACGTTTTTGGGGGAATAACTCAATATTGCAATGCATTACTTTCTAAAGTAACCTTCCCCAACAATGCTCTAAACACAATTATACAATACAGACAAGCCATATGAACATTTGCACCAAAATGACCACAATATTCTCTCACACACACAGCTCAGCATCAGAAGATGCTCACAATAACAGTACATATTAAGCTGCATTAAAGAAGGATAATGGTCTTACCTCTATGTCTGTTTGTAGTTTTATCAAACATTAGCATGGCATCCTCTACCTAAAAAAGATGGAAAAAAGCACACATGAGTAACTGAACAAAGTATTTTAAAGTCCAGAAAAATAGTACAACAGTATGAATCGACTATTTTGCTCAACCAGGACACAGAAGTAGTAATGTAAATGTACTGCCAATGTTTGAGATTCACAGACTAAACCAGCCAAATGTTATCAGTCGATTGAATGGGCATTATCAGTGGTTATCAGCTGACATTGGTCAGCAGGGGCCTTCTGCACCTACTGGTAGGCTCAGAAGGCGGTTATCATCCATCCACATGGGTAATCAGCTAAAGATCACATTCAACTGCGACCAGAAGTTAACAAGAATTATTTATATTATTTATTACATTTCCCATTAATTGTAATTTATTAACGTATAACCCTACCCCAATCTTAAACACAACCATCAAAGTAATGTAAAAACAGATCTGGAGTCTTTCCAATTATTCTAGCTGATTAACCATAAGAATTATTTATATTATTTATTATATTTCCCATTAATTGTATTTTATTAACATAATCTTTTTTAGTAAAAAATAACAGACCTATAGGCCTACTGTATATGACTGGTAGCACACTAACGAAAAACATGCTTGCCGTAAACTAGGCTACATTACTTGAGCATTCGTTATGACATTGATCTGTTGTGGTCCAGCTCATGGTTCCTTTTTTAATATTAGATTTTTCTTTGAAATCGATAGGCTACCACTACTGATCCTAATCAAAACACAAACTGCTCTGTTACATAAAATAATTATATAAATAAAATTACAGTGAAATATTCACAGGTTCAGAGTTCAGATTTTTTCTGTTAATGACAATCCATATTGCGGGGTCACCGAAACACAGCGCACAGCTTTTCAGTATCTGTGGACACTCTTCCCTTTAAAACTTAGCAGCATAAAGGGAAAGAATGAGTGTTGGGGATTAGTCCAGGGTATTATTAAGCCTTTTTAGAGCCTAATTTTAGTTCTAAAATTTCAGCTAGGCATACTTTGCGTGTAAAGAGCAGGTAATAACCCTCTCTACTCCAGTGGTGTGAATGTGATCTGCTCATAACAGACACAGGGCAACATGATTTAGAAACAGCAATGAACTAAACTATACTAATTTCTGATAAACTAAACTAATTTCTCCACTGATTACTTATATTAACAGGAACAAATAGTCTTGGAGAAAGTTTTTCATGTTGTCATGAACGCAAGGCGCAGATTGAATTGTGAATAAACGGAGCCTTCATGGCTTTTGTTGTCTTATAAATTGCACAGAATACAGCGCACACGCAAGATGGCATTTGGATCGGTACCAGCTGGCTGATACCTGATGTCCTATCTGATCCAAGTATCAAGATCGGTGCATCCCTAATTAGAACCAGCACACACATTCAGATTAACCATGCAGATGGATGATAACAGCATTCTGAGCCTACCAGTAGGCGCAGAAGGCCTCTATCGGTCCTTATCTATCAGCTGATGACCACTGTTAATGCCCATTGAATTGAGTCATAACATTAGAAGCGGTTGCTGAAACTGACAATACAAGTTACCAATTTGATTTGGTAATCCATCGAAAAAATCCAATCCAGATGAGATGCTTACCAAAAGTACTTCAAACTCTTTGTATGATGGGATTTGGGTCAACAAGAACAAAACATCCTTATATTATACAATTAGTAATAAGAAGTGCAGATCTCAATGAGCTGTGTATAGGGTTGTAACGGTATGAATTTTTCACGGTATGATAATCGTCTAAAACAATACCACGGTTTGACGGTTTCGCGGTATACGGTATGTTACAAATGTTACAAAATAATAGAACAGTGAAGCAAATTTGACTTTTTCCAAATAATATATTTTTAGTTATTATAAACAACACCACTTACAATGAACAAATAAAAATAAGAAAATAATAAATAATGTGTCAAAGTCCAAATACAGTCCAAATAAACATGGTGCAAATCCTCAGTAAAAAATAGATATAAATATTTACTATACTATAAATAGTTACATAACGAAACTAAATTCAATATGGAACATCCCCAGGTTTTATGTGCCAGCATGGATATGGTTGTCTATCGATATGGATTTGGATGTGGTTGTCTGCAATGCAGACAAACAGCTGCATCTTCATTTGCGTCTTTTGGTAAAAGCAAGAGCAGCAGTTCGTCTTTGCTGTGTCACTGTTTTGTCATGTTTCTGTGCTGCTGTGCATGCAAAAGTACTTAGTATGAGAATTATTTCATGAAAAACTTTTTTTTTTGCGTTTTATTTAGCCGCGCATAAATGTATGCCTATCTCTCATTCCGTGTTGTTCAAAAAGCTTGGTCCACAAACAAAAGCGAAACCTATGCTTATTGGTTGTGATATAGCGAGTTTGAACCAATCTGGGCATGGAGGAGGGACAATGCATCAATGTATCATGTCTGATTTGTCCGGAGACACAGTGACGAGCGTTTCTTTGTCAAATCAGCGTTGTCAAATGTTGATGACGTAACCGCACTGATTCCGGAGCCTCTGAAAGTCCGCGAATGTTATGTGATACAGCACTTGAAAGCTGATTCTCTTCTTTATGCCAATCTTTGAATTGTATGAATCGGATCAGCGGATCAAAAGTTATTAAACATTTAAGAGCAATACTTATTTTTAGCCGCGGGCGGCTGTCTCGGTCTTTAAGGGTTAAAACCGTTGATATGCAATTGTTCATGGTATGATAATCGTGCACGTTCAAATCGTGGTAAACCGTCATACCGGTATATTGTTACAACCCTAGCTGTGTATAACACCTGCGTCATACAGTAACAAATGCACTGCAATCATAACCAAATATTTCTCCAGAGCACCACTGATGGCTCCCTGTTTTTTCAGGGTCCTTCCTCAACAGGACACATACTTAGACAAGTAACCTTTGCATGATGATGCAAGCAGATTCCTAAAAGAAAACACACAGAATATTGTAGAGAAACACCAGAGTCCAGAGTAATTTGCCCTTCATGACTCACGAGAGAGAGAGGGAGTCAGTCTCAGAGGGAGACAAAGCGGTCCATGTGTCCATGCACTGCCTGCCTCCTGGATACGGTCGCTAGGTAACATGAGAAGTTGTCTGAGTGTAAGAGACAGACTGTCCAGCGCAACGGGAGACCCCAGTATGAGCCCAAGGGGTAGAAACACACACACATACACATACACTGCACACACACAGAGGTCGTGGTGTGTCTTTAATAGAGAGGTATTAAAATATCACAGCAGCATGAGTCAAACCTGCTCCGCCCACATGAGCCCCACAGCGAACCAGCACACACATCCAGACAGACCTACTGTAGAGCACTTCCACCTGGAGCAGCGTGGGTTAAACACTTCCATCATGGGCAAAATGAGATCAGACATTTCCCTGAAATTATGGGTTAATGGCTGGAAGCAAAGCTGAGCCTGCTGCTCTCAGCGCAAAGCAGATCAGACAGAAGCAGACCAGACCAGACTAATACTTCATCTTAGATCATGTCATCTATCAGATCACAACTAGACCAGCTCATACTATATCAGACCAGATAATCATTATCAGCTTACACAAGTCTGGAGACAAGTCTGTCAGTGTCATATCATGTCACATCACATATCAGACCAGTTTATATTATATCAGACGAGAGAGCACCCTGTACTAGAAAAAGTCCACTGTAGTTTACATCACATATCAGACTCTAATGACATACCAGTCTATATTGTATATCAGACCACATTAAGCCAAACTAATTGCATTAAATTAAGTCAGGACTAGTCCCGGTCTAGTCTTTCATATCATATCATCAGACCACAACATACAAGTCTATTCTATTATCAGACCAGACTGTTTATGCTAGTCTGGAAAAGCATGTGATGCTAAATATCATACAATATATCAGACTATATCCTACAAGACCAGCCCGGTTCAGATCATACCATACAATACTAGCTTATTTCAGTTAAAATCCTAACACATCATACATTATATTAGATTCCTCTAGCCTAGTCCACATAGTACTAACTAGACCTGACCACATCACAGCAGACCTACTCTAACTCTACATTATTTTTCAGATCAGAACAGAATACTCCAATTCGGACCATTTCAGGTCCGACCTAAACAGACCTGAATGATCCAGTTCAGACCGCATCATCTATCAGATCAGTCCAGGGCAATCTAGTTTAGATCACATAATATATCAGACCAGAACAATCCAGTAGAGAAAACATCAGACCAGAACAATCAAATCCAGACCACATCATATACATTAAAACAGACTAGAGCAACCCAGTCCAGACCACATCATATATATCATATCAGACCAGAACAAACCAGTCCAGACCAAATCTTATATACCATATCAGACCAGAACAATTCAGTCTGGACCACAAAATATATATCACATCAGATCAGAACAATCCAGTCCAGACCCCATCATATATATCACATCAAACCAGAACAATCCAGTCCAGACCCCATCATATATATCCAGACCCCATCATATATATATCACATCAGACCAGAACAATCCAGTCCAGACCACATCATATTTATCATATCAGACCAGAACAATCCAGTCCAGACACATCTTATATATCATATCAGACCTGAACAATCCAGTACAGACCACATCTTATATATCATATCAGACCAAAACAATCCAATTCAGACCACATCTTATATATTATATCAGACCAGAAAATCCAGTCCAGACCCCCGTCATATATAAAACCATAACAATCCAGTACAGACCACATCTTAAATATCGTATCACACCAAAACAATCCAGTCTAGACGCTATCATATATATCACCTCAGACCAAAAAAATCCAATCCAGACCACATCATATAGGATTAGTCCAGATCATTTAATATACCAGATCAGACCAGAAAAATCCAGTACAGACCACATCATATAGATCATTTCAGAGTAATCAGACCAGATCAAAACAGTCCAGACCACATTATATTTATCACATCCGATCAATCCAGTAAGACCACATC